GTGGGAAATTGCTAGATATGCCACCTGCTAAAACTGGCACATTCACACATATGTCCAGTGACTTTGCAGAAGTGCAAAGAAAAGCACACTGTGATTATCTGAACTGCAATGACTACAAATTGTTGTGCAAAGCTGGTAGAAGACCCTTCTATGTGCCAGTTCATGCAGGAGGAATGGCTTGAGATCCCTGCTGGGTCATGATCAGTGTTCCATCTAAGCTGAGTTAGTGTGAGCTAGCTCACAGTTTCTTAGCCTCCAGCTCACACATTTTTGTCTCAGCTCAGGAAGGAGGGCTCCAGAGCAGACTAATGTATGCAGCAGCCAAATTGCGCTCACAACTTTAATGCCAGCAGCTCACAAAGTAGAAGTTGTGCTCACAAAACTCCACAGCTTAGAGGGAACATTGGTCATGATGCTGCCAGCGACCACATGGCCAATCAGATAGGGCTGGCTTTGGACCTTGTACTGTATTTTTAGTGGGTTGCCTGAATTGTAAAAACTGAAATTGTAGCCACTATATGGTTAAAAGGCATATGAAACATGTGTAACTTGTAATTGTGATAAACTGTGTTTTGTACAGTCCAGCCAAACAGACAATGCAGAATCAGAATTGTACAGTTGGGTCTGTAGACAAATATGCCTGAATTAATTGTCCTTGTCCATATTTTTCGAGCACCCTGCTTGTGTTTTGCTACTTTAAAAGAAGGAAGACAGTTTCTGAACTTGGTAATGTCTGTTTCTTTGGTATTGTGCAAGTGCGTATCTTTTTTTTTTTTTTTGTAAACAAAGTTTTTTATTTTCATAGGAATTCAACATTTGACATTCAATCATGTACACTTTTCCAATGTTTACCCCATTCCCATTTCCTCCCTTCCCCTCCGTGGCTTCCCGCAATGCTTCCCCCCCAACTCCACCTTACTATACTTCACCCATTATATCATTTTCTTATCGTTACAATCTCAAGATAACACCATTTGGCTTAATATTGATCTAAACATATTAAGTTTTGTTTCACATCCCAGTTCTTTTCCAAATATATTTTAAAGTCACTCCATTCTTCAAAAAACACGTCATCTTCTTTATTATTCAGCTTTTTTGTAATTTTGTCCATTTCAGCCATGAACAGAACTTTTTGTATCCAGTCTTCAATCTCTGGTACTTTCTCTGTTTTCCAGCATTGTGCATAAATCATTCTTGCTGTTGTTATTAGGTACCAGAGTAAAGTCTTTTTAGTCGTATTGACTTCTTCCATTTTAAGTCCCCAAAGCAAAATTTCCGGTACTTTTTTGAAAGAGCATTTCAGTATTTTTTGCATTTCACTGTGGACTTTTGTCTTGCAAGTGCGTATCTTGAGGTGCTCTGTAAACTCTGAGTTCATAAAGCCATGTCTAAGCTGGAGAAAGAGCAAATAAATTATGTGAAGAATTATGGATGAAACAAGGCGTTTTCTTTATAGTTTTCTTTTTTTGCATTAGCTAATCAGATTCTGTTTTGTTAATGGGTAAACTTTACATTACATGCTACCCTCTTTTGTGTGTGTAAATAAACAAAGCTAGTTCAAGTTTAGAACATATTTAGTAGTTTTATTTATTTAGGTACTTATAACTTGCTTTTCTCCTCAGTGAACACCTGATGCTGCTGCAACACCATTCTCCTGTCCTCCATTTTATTCTCACTCACAGTCACCCTGTGAGGTAGCTTAGGCTGAGTATGTATGACTAACCCTAGGTTACACAGTGAGCTTCCATGGCAGAGTATATAATTCAATACACAATAATAGTCATAAATAATTATCATATGGCATTGTGTGTAGAATAGCTAGAAAATCCTAAGATTGTCTGGTGGCCAGTTCTAGCTCTTTAGTATTATGCACCACTAAGTGGCAAGCTAGACTTGTTTTTAAATATAGTAAATCTGAAAAACACTGTAGCGAAGGAATACGCACAACATTGTATTTGAAATTACAAAAAACCTCTTATTAACTATTCTTTAAAGATGCTGTACATGTACAAGTTGAATTTAAACATATGAAGTTAAACCATAATACGTGACGTTAACCACATAGTATTAACCACAGCAACGGATGTCCCAGGTAAATCTCCATTTCGACCCTTCATCAGGCCGTAATCATATGGTAAAGCCAGGAAAGAGTTGAGGGGACTACAGCACAGGTACTTATCCTCTGTTCCCAGTTGCACTCCACCACTCAAGTGTTATACCAAGCTGAGGAGATCTACTATTTCCCTCTTGACACTATAGCCTCTGGCGACTCCTACTGGGGCATGGAGGATATTCATGGCTTGATAGCCT